ACACGACGCTCTTCCGATCTCCCCAAAACCCCAAAACCCCATGTTCCAATTGTAAAAAGATGAATCGATGAAATATAATACTGCACAATGCTATTTAATCTTAAATTTTAAACCTTCATTATTAAAGTCTGTAGTTTTCAACTTGATTGCTTTTAATGTTGAACTTTACACCCCTTCCACCAGATGGTGCTTTCTTATTTGGACTTTGATTTCTTTCTTTTTATTTCTACTACTGATTAAAGCTGTTAAGATGATTATTATTGCTCTCAAGTGGCCCTCTTCCAGATTTCCTATTTTAAAGCATTTTTTTGCGAAGTTCAAACTCTTGCTTGGATATTTCTGCCTTAGTAACTTGCTGCATGCTACAACTAGATACTGTGGATGCATTAGAGAGGCATTTTTCAGGAGCAGCTTGTGATGATACGAAAGATCTATCATAATGAGTTGCAGGGGCATTAATTTAATGCATGCTAATCTAATGATTATGATTGCTTTGATTATGTGCAGAGTTTATGTTTTCTAAAGTCCTAAGACTTTGAATAGTTACTTAAGATTAATTAACCTTTTATTATCTTGAATGAGGAATAACCTACGTCATCCTCTGTGATAAAGGCTGATAATTCCTTGCTTAATGTCTCTGCTCTTGTTTAAGCTCTACATTTTCTTTGTAGTTTTGACTAAGCTATAATTGAATCTACATTCTCTAATTTTAGTTTTCATATTCTCTACTTCTAGCTCTGTAAATTCCCTAATCAAGGAATTCTTTATCCTGCTACCGTTCTATTGATCTATAAATTTGATCTCTCTATTTTTATTCTTTGGCTTGATTATAGAATCGGTTTAATTCATCTCTTACGTGAGATTAGTACTAATTTCTATGAGAATTTATCATTGCTTAAGTTTGCAAAGCCTCCTCTACTATTTATCTCTCCTAAAACATTTTCTGAAGTCTCTCACTTCGCTATTTATGAGTTTTAGAATCAATTTAGTTAGCAATATAATCTCTGTTATCTCTGAGTGTATTCATATACTAAATTTCATCTCTCTAACCTAATGTCTGGAATATATTAGTATTTTCCTAATTTTAATGGCTTATTTGAAGCACACTTTTGTTGTATCTTGACATATCTTTATACTACTATGAAGCCTATTCTTAAATAATTGCTTTTCTTCTCCTTTCCAGTTTACTCTGCAAGGCTTTATGCGATAACTTTAAAGTATCACCTTTAAATGTTTACATAAACTAATCACCACATGGTGATTCACATGTTTCTTACAGAATTTACTTTTAATATTTCAACTTCTAGTCTGAAAAATATGCCTACTTATCTTAATAAACTCTGTCAACTGATTTCACTCTTTCCATGGATTTTAATTAATAGGCTTTTTGTATGGGATCACTCTAAGGTGAGAAAAAATTCCAATCAGGTGCTTAGTAGGAATCATCCTTAGCCAAGGTTTTATTTTAACGATTAACTTATGGGGACAGTGGTCTATATTTAAAGCTCATTTCATCTATGTGATAGCCTAACTTTGAACGATGTCTAGTTGGAATAGCTTTTGTAAAATCATCTCTTTAACTGAGAGGATAAGTTATTACAGTTGGTACTTCCGTCTCAAAAGTTGATTTGGAATGAATTTTCGGATTAAAATCAAATTAGACTCTCTTAGGAGAAATCTCATTTTGGTATTTTTCAACTTAAGGACTAAACTTTTCATGTGATTATTGTTATTTCATAGTTTTACTCTTATTTCCATCCAGAGTAGTATAGATATTTTGAGGGGAATTTCGCACATTTTCATAAGCACCATAATCATCTGTCGTGCTTCCAAATTTTACTTCACATGCTTTTCCTCTTTCATAAAATTATTTCTAATAAGTGTCTTTGATGTTTTGGTTGAAGCCGAGCTGCACTTCGCTATAGTTTTTGTAGTTCAGATTTCCAGAGCTTTTATGGAAAGTGTTTTGGTAAGGAGCGTGCTTATTGGTCGACTAAATCTTTAAGACATCAGTCTTTTCCTTGTATTAGTTTAATTGAGGAGAGCCCATCTATGTATCCTTCATGGTGGAAAATATTTCATCAGGTCTCTCTCGGTACTTCTGCTCCCCGTATAGTATTGTGTTACTTCTAAAAGTGGGTGACACATATCTCTAATTCTTTCTACCATAGATGCATGGAACCTAAATATAAATATCAATATTTTATAGAGAAAAAAGGTTTAATTACTGATTCTAAATCCTGTAAAGAGCTTAAGGATTTTGAATACAAAGCATAATGATCGTTGTCGGATGATCGATACCATTCTTTTTCTGAATTCTGCATACTTTCTAACTTAGACCTAGATTTGAAAATATTGATTAGAAGAGTTTGATTTACTTGCTGCTGTTATATAGTTGTTAAAATTTATATTTTCACAATCTAATTTCCATTTTACTCTTAATTTATCTCAAGTCTTAATTTTAGCTTACTCACTCTCCTGGGGTTTTGGGGTTTTGGGGTTTTGGGGTTTTGGGG